CCAGGCTAGGTGATGTGAGAAGAACATGCATTGTCTGAGGTGCTACCTCATGGGCACAGGCTGCTGTCAGTGTGGGAGGACAGAATGTCACTTTAGGAAGTAATCCCAGTGCAGCAGATCCTGTAGGAAGGTCTCCTACCCGCATCACAAAAGTTTTTTTTGTACAAAAGCCATTTAATTCATCTGCATTACAAAGGACTTTTGAGCCCTTACTTGATACCAGACACTGTTTTAGAAGCAGCAAGAATACAGATACAGGCTTCCAGAGGGACAGACAAATAGCCAATGCCATTGCTGGTTAGCGTCACTGCATAACAAAACACCCTGAAACTAGAGCCCTGGTGTATTTTAGCTCTCAAACCTGTGGGCCAGCTGATCTCAGTGGGGCTTTGCTGGCTCTCTCAGGTTGATAAGGGTCTCCACTCTCCTCCTGGAAAAGCTAGTGCACACATACTCCTTCTGAGGCATTGTGGAGGCCAAGCAAGAACACGCTGAAACACACAGTTCTTCTTAGAGCCTGGGCTGGTACCTGACACCCCATCACTCCTGCCTCACCATTGGCCAAACAAATCCCATGGTCACAGCCAAAATCAAAGGCTACATGTGTAGAGACACACTGGAGTGAAGAATTGACCCAATAATGCAATTGATCCTACATAGTACTAGGCCAGGGAACAAAAAGGGCTGAAAGGAACATAAGGCAGGGTACATGGCTCAAGAGCAGGCAGGTGCCACTTTTAGGTAGTCAGAGAAAGACTTGTGGTGGAAAGGTAGGTTGTCATGATGTTGGGTGTATTTAGCTGCTGTGAGATGGACATGCTGTCAGCATAACAGTTTGCTGTAATGCTGCATGGGGCAGGCTTTCTGCTAGGCTATCCAAGTACATCCCAACAGCAAGGACTCTAGGCATATCTGACAGCTGTTGTGTCTCATAAGGGCTTCTATCTGCTTTATCGCTATTTTATAAGAATGCCTCATCACAGTAGTACACTCAACAGCGACCAACATTTGAATGAATTGTTTGCTGGACTACACACTAGCTGCTCCTGCATACACACACATGCTCAGGCACTCTCGTGTTAAAAAGCACACACGCACACACATGCACACACACACACGAGCATAGCCTTGCACGGCTGCTCTCTGATATGTCTTCATCCACATCAGCCAAGGAGAGGAAACCGTCACCACCCCTGGCACCAACAGGAGGCAGTGGCTGTTGGAGATGCCTCAGATCCCAAGCCAGACATATGCTCCTGGAGCAGTGGTGTGAACCATGACTGTGTCTCCACGTACACACAGCTTCTCTGGGAACCCACAGCTGTGCCACAGCAAGTGAGCTTAGGTGGGGGTGGGGGGAAGAGATGGGGGTGTAGATGGGGGGGCTTTTCAGCGTCAGTGCCCTCGATCAATCCATTATCCAGAAGACCCCCATTAGAGAGCTGAAGGGAAAGGCAGCAAAAATGGATTTCTCCTTCAGAGGCCTTTTATCCCTAGTGTAAAGTGAGTGTCTTCCCATTTTGCTGAAGGAAACCTGACATCTGAGAAGGTGTGGGGAGTGGTGGGAAGCAGCAGTGTCAGTTTTGGCCTTAGCCCTGGGAGGATTATCATTCCCATTTCATGGATGGAGAGACTGAGGCTTGGGGAGGAAAAGGAACTGTCCCGATACAAAAGGAGCCTAGAGATCTCAGTCCAGTTCTCATCTCACTGACACATCTCCTTCCCCTTGCTAGGCTCTGTGGGGGAACTGGAGGCCTCCGTGGGTTTGTAGAGGTAACCCTCGAGCCTAAGAAGACCCCTGTAGTCAACTCCTCCCAGACCTGAAAACCCAAGCAGAGTAGAGTTGGGGACTGGTCCTTTGGGCAAGCCCACCAGGAGTCAGGTGACGTGAGCTAGATCCATTCCTCCTGACAATAGAACAACCCGGAACCAGATTCCAGGACCTCAGTGGGTGCCTGAGCAGGTTCCTACTGAGGACAGCCTGCAGGATTTTGGAAAATCTACCTCCATTTTCACTTGTACCAAAGAAACCCACAAGGCATGTTTGGATGGGGAATCAGATGTCTATTGTTAGGGGCCTAACTCCCTAGTTTTAAAGTAGATGAGGAAACTGAGGTTGGAACAGACAACTGCCCTTGGCCAATCTGAGCTGCCTTACCCAAGATCATCCCCTTTCTTGGGGACAGTTCACATTTCACAGCAGGCCCATTGGGAGTATAGAGGCTCAGTCCCTCACTCTAGGAGGGTCACCTCTGAAGGGCTGTCCCAGATCCAGAGCTCTCTTAAGATGGCTGAGGCCCTATTGCAATTACAAGATTGCTCCATGTGTCCCTCTGCCGGTCCTGTCTCCCTCCTGCTCCTACAGATGTTCCTGAGAACACTCCCCAATAAGCCACCTGCACACATCTCTATCTCAGCATCTATTGCCAAGGAAATCACCCTGTCTCACAGTGGCAATCAAATACTGCAGCCTCCAAGAGACACACGTCACTTTTTCTCATAGGTCATTAGCTAGAAGTAGTCACATGGCCCCACTCTGGCCACAACCATAAAAACTAAAGTCATGGCCATTGAGTTGATTCCAAGTCATGGAGATCCCTGTTGGTTTTCCAAAGCTGTAAATCTTCATGGAAGACTGTATCATCTTCCTTCCACAGTGTGGCTGGTCGGTTGGAACTACTATTTCGGTTAGCAGTCAAATGCCTTAACCACTACACCACCAGAACTTCTTTCTGATCATAAGGTGGCCAGCAAGTACGACCCTGCCATGTGCCCAGAAAGGGGAAAATTGGAACCATCTGGTTAATGGCACTCATTAAAATTGTATGGAAGGGGGCTGGGGCACAGAAAGGGCCAGCAGAAGTCAAGAATCCATCGACTGCCTTGTTCTTTGACGGTTGCCTTGGCTGTGCCCTGCTCTTAGGAGTGCTTCTCCTCCAGGGAGCTACTTCTGGTGGATATCAGTTTTCTGCCATCTTTACCCTGCACCATGGTTCATCACTTCTTCAGCTGCCTTGTACTCTCTGTCCCTGTCTTTGTGTCTGCAAAATCCACGGGTTCAGTTCATCTGACCCCTGATGGACAGGGTATTATTGCATCCTTGTCAGTAACCTTGTGACCAAACAGTGACAAAGAAGGGATTTAAAACATCAGTTCACATTTATTGAGTAGATACCTTGTCACGTAATCCTCATCACGTCTTCCGAGTGCAGTGCTGTTTGTATTACCATTTTACCAGTGGACAAGTGAAGGCACAAAGAGCTTGAGTAACTTACCTGAAAGTGAGAGAGCTGGGTTTGCACCTAGACAATGTGGCTCCGACCTCTTTGCACTTTCCTATCCTCTGCTGAATCTTGATTAAGTGAACCATCTATTCATTTAACATCTGGGGAGGGGCAGCGGTTGAGCATTTGGCTGCTAACTGAAAGGTCAGTGGTTCAAACACACCAGCCATTCTGTGGCAGAAAGATGTGGCAGTCTGCTTCTGTAAAGATGAACAGCTTTGGAAACCCTGTGGGGCCATCGTACTCTGTCTTCCGGGGCCACTATGACTCAGAATATGTGCAAGGGCAATGGGTTTGAGTTTAATGACTGTTCTGTGTCCCAGGCCCTGTGCCACATGCTGGGAAATGCAGCCCTTCCCACTGAATATATGCGGGCTTTGTTGCTCAGTGTCCCCTCCTTTAGATATTACCTCCCCTACCCCTGCCAGTATTTAGTGCTGGGAGAGTTATACTGGAGACATTGGTATTCATGTTTCTATAACAATAACTAACTTACATGTTTCTCTAATTGCTTTGGCTACCAGGAAGCTTAAGTCCACATCAGAGCAAATATATTATTAGAGATGGAGGTGGTGGTTGTTGTTGTTATGTGCTGTTGAGTTGGCCCCAACTCATAGTGACCTCTCCTTGGGTTTCCGAGGTGGTATCACTATAGAAGTAGATTGCCCAACCTTCCTTCCGAGGAGTGGCTGGTGGGTTTGAACCGCCAGCCTTCTAGTTAGCAGTCAAGTGCCTTAGGGACTAAGCTACCAGAGCTCCCATAGAGAGACGGAGGTTAGTGCTTCAATTTTCTGAAACTAGCCCAGATTTCCTATTTTGTTTATAGAAATTCAATTCCACAGATGTCCTTTAGTGTGGTGGTGGTGTTATGTGCCATTGAGTCGGACCCAACTCATAGTGACCCCTCCTTGGGTTTCTGAGGCAGTATCACTATGGAAGTAGATTGCCCCATCTTCCTTCTGAGGAGTGGCTGGTGGGTTTGAACCGCCAGCCTTCTGGTTAGCAGTCAAATGCCTTAGCCACTATGCTACCAGAACTCCTGTCCTTTAGTGTAAAACACCTTAATTCTTTTTTAGAAGAGGCTGATAAAGTGAAGTCTTTACTGTGTGCATGGATTGCTGGGGGCTGTAGGGGAGGTGGACCTAGCTATTCCCTCCCCCTCCAGGCTCCCCACCTATAAAATTCCTTGGGCAGTGAGGGCTGCTCTCCTGAGTGCCTGGGTAGGTCACATTCCTACAGAGAAGGAAAAAAAGTTTCTTCAAATCATCCTCCAGGCCTCTGTGCCAGGTGCATGTTTGTAGACAGGCGGCCAGTCAGACTGTCACCTGAGCAGTTAATAAAATCTATTGCCCCTTGACGGATTTTTTTTTTCTGCAAGCTAGAATTGATCTGTCCTTTCTGTGATTTGTGAGGTGGTAGGGAAACACAAAATACCATCTTGACTTGGGCCACATTGGAAAAAAAAAGAGAGAGAGAGAAAGAAAAAGAAAAAAAAAAAAAACCACAACCAAGCCTTTCCAGGCATAAAAAGGGCTGAAATTGCTGGGGTCATTTGATTTGATTTATTGAAAATAAAGTGGATCTTATTAACATTTTAATAAAGAGAATCTTTTCGCACTGGGCTGGAAGTGGCCGCCAGCCACTGCTGCAATTCCATTCCAGGGAAAGTGGGACCGGTTCGCCTTGCCCAAGCTGATTTGTGAGCCTGAGCCCCAGCAGTCCAAAAAGGCAAATGGGCTCCCTCCTCCAAGGGGCTCGCTTGGCGCGAGGTGCTAGCCCCATATCTGCCATGCAAAACGAGGGAGCTTTATGAAGGAATCCGTCTTGTAAAGCCATTGGTCCTGGTCATCCGCCTCTACCCAATGCTTTCGTGATGCTGCCGCTGATCTATTTGGGAAGTTGGCTGGCTGGCGAGGCAGAGCCTCTCCTCAAAGCCTGGCTCCCACGGAAAATATGCTCAGAGCAGCGGCGCGCGTGAATGCAAACGCCGCCGGGCGCTTCTAGTCGGGCAAAATGCAGCCGAGAACTCCGCTGGTCCTGTGCCTTCTCCTGTCCCAGGTAGGGAAGAGCGGCTGCCGGGCGCCGGCCGGCTGCTCGGGCGCGCCACGTTTCTGCGTTCGGATCGCCCAGTGCTCCCGGGGCGAGGGGGCTTTCCGGGGACCCGGGGCTCGCTGCGCGGCGGCGAAGGCAGCCCCGGGCTCGGAAGGGAGGTCATTGCCAGCCCTGGAGATCCTCAGAGACCTTGGCTTCCCACCCTGGTTTCTCTCTTTCTCTCTCTTCCTCTGTGTGTGTGTACGTTCTGGGGAGGTGGAGGGAGCGTCCGAGACCTTTTTTTGCAAGCAGGGGCGACATTCTCGCCTACACCAAGAGGGGTAACTTTGATTCGCCTCCTCCCGAGGCTCCTGCATTGGAGAAAGACTCAGTTGGAGGCGACTCCAGCGAGTCGTGGTTCCCCAGACCAGCACCGAGCGGGGGCAGCGCTGCTCGGGTCCTGATTGCGGGCTGCCAGGCTGAGAGGCCGGCCTGGCACCGCCGACTTCCTGGGGCGCCGGCCCCTTGCCCAGCCCCGCGGCGCGCACGAAGGTGCCTCGGGCCAGCCGAGCGCCGCAGCCCGGCTGCTGCTGTCGCTCACAGGCGTCGGCACCAACGCGCCCGCATCGGGGTCCTTTCCTCCCCGATCCCGGGCCCGGAAGGGCTGGAGCCCGGGTCCTCGCGCCCCCATTGTCCAGCCAGCTGGAGCTCCGGCCTGGGAGCCCGGGCTGCCGCCTTTGCTCCTTTCCTGGCTGGAAGCGGAGCGCGGAGAAAAGTTCAAGCCTTCCCCACCGGGCTGCAGCTGCCCATTAACCCCCCGGAGCGCTGCAGCTGGAGGGACCAGGGAGGATGAGGGTGCAGACACGCAGGCCCGGGGAGGGGGCGTGCAGACACCGCGCTCCAGCCACGGCCTCCGCATCTGGGCGATCTGGGGAAGTTTGCCGGCAGGCAGGAAAGCCCTGCTCTGAGGCCAAGCTTGGGTGCTAGTGGCTGAGGGACACGCCCAACCCTGCTCAGGGGACTGTGGTTTCCACAGAGCCCCAGCACCCAGTCCCTGAGGCCACCCTGGCAGCCTACAAGTGGACGGGGAGGAGCAGGGCAGGGTCTGGTAGAATGGAGGGAAGGAGGCAACGGGTGCCCCAGGGTGTGGAGAGTGGGTGTGGAGTTCTGGCTGGGACTCTTGGGTGTCAGGGCAAGAGACACATGTGTGAGCTCGTGGGTGAGAAGAAGGGTGATGGGGAGGACTGAGCTGGCTGGGATGGGGGGCAGCACAGCCTTCTAAGGGGTGAGTGGTACTAGATCAAGGTTAGGGCTGGACTTTGGAAATGGGCTTGGGGCCCAGCAACACAGTGACCATGCAAATGACTCAAAGGAGGGGGCAGAGCTAAGGTGCCAGGCTGCTGACCCCACCCCCACTCATGACTTCCCTCTTGTCTGCGTACACAGCCCTGGCGGTCCTGGACTTCCCAGCTGTAGTCTTTTCCTCTAAGGCTTTGCTCTTGGGGTCCCTGTAGCCTCAGTCATGCCACAAATCCTATGTTGTTGTTGTTGTTGTTATGTGCCGTCGAGTCGGCCCCGACTCATAGCGACCCCTCCTTGGGTTTCCGAGGCAGTATCACTACGGAAGTAGGATTGCCCAACCTTCCTTCCGAGGAGTGGCTGGTGGGTTTGAACAGCCAGCCGTCTGGTTAGCAGGCAAGTGTCTGTTTTCCAGACTGCCAGGATTCTGCATAGCCCTAAGGTTGTATGTGTATCTGCCTCCCCCAGTGTAGCAGGGAATTCTGTGAGCATGCCTCAGCCTGTCTGCCTTGTGCTAGTCCTTAGGCCCTGGGCTAGTAGTTTAAGGTCTTGGAGCTCCCAGACTCTCCCCTCTGAACTAGTCGGTCGCCTTCCTAGGATTGCGAGGAGCAGTTGGTCACATTCAACAGATGCCGCACATAAGGCCGTCACCACGCACCTGCGGAGTGTCTAGTAGCACTTAGCACTGTCTGATCCGGCCCTTCAGAGTCCTTCCCCTCTCAGCAGGTGTCTATCTCGGCTCCCATTCAGGGAGTTAGGTCTCCCTGAGGCAGGACTGACGACCACATCAGGGCCTCCGGAGAAGCCCCCATTCTAGGGGCTTTGGGCATGGTGCCTTTGGCAAAGCAACTGGTGTGTTCGTCACACTGGCTCGGCTCTGTGCTCACTCAGACAGTGTCTGTAAAATAAGGGGACAGAGGGTTCATGGCACAGGTGCTGCCCAGGGGGCTTGTGTCTGTCTAAGATCATTACGCACAATCAGAGCAAATGTCCACGTTAGGACAGGCATTGCTGCCCCGGGAGGAAGAGCGACTTGCAGAGAAGTCATTTGGTTGCATTTCAGTTAACCAGCAAGAGGTTCATGTGCAGAATCGCATGTGCCACTGAGAGAAGGGGTGGGGGGCGGGGGGCTGTCTTGGAGCCTTGAGTCAACAGACAAATGCCAAACTTCCCTGAGGCAGGGAGAAAACAGAAGAAAGGGAAAAACAATGTCATAAAGCCAGTTAGTCAGCAGCTCTGGTGATGTTCCGGCAGGCAGGGTGTGCTTTGCCACTGCAGTTGTAATATACTGGTGGGGCTGTGGAAGCCCTAGTCTCTGGAAGCTTACTGGCTCTGTTGCTGTTTTAGGCATTTTGGAAGTGGAAGGAGGGGTGCTGTTTCACTCAACCCTGGCTGGAAGCTGGCAAAGTTGAGGCCCAATCCCTATTCACTTCCCTGGTGTGTTTTGGGAATGGTCACCCCAAGAGTCGCCCCTGGAATTTGCCTACAATAGGTAGTGACTGTGAAACAAACAAGTCTGATATGAGCAAGAAATTCCACGGTAAATAGGATCATCCGTTCCCCTGGGTAGCGGCACTTACAACTAACCAAAGTTCTAACAATGAGTGAGTAATCTCCCAAGAATTAGGGTTTTAGGGAGTGGCTCCAGGTTTGGAGAGCAGTCGCTTGGGAGTGACTAAAAATGTTCCACAGGATTCTGAGATTTTGAATTTGAGAGTGGGGACTTCTCTCTCCAAGTCAGAATCTTGATTTCCAGAATTTTGAGAGGGCATCGGTGACCTCTGGTGCCCCTGCGGCTTCTTCTGTCATGTTTTAAGAGCAGTGTGTGTTTTTGGGATCTTCTGGCTGAGAAGATAGGCTAGGGCAGCTGCAGAGAGCACCGCCACCCCCATGAGCTCAACATGGGACAGCCTAGAAGATTTCAGAGGCTGTGGGGGAACTGATAAGCAGTGAAAGGAGACAAGTGGTAGAATTCAAGTGCCAGCACTTTTTTTTTTTTTTTTTAAAGCAGGTCCCCAAAGAGGTTTCATAAACTGCAAGGCTGGGTGTGTGACTTGGAATTCATGTAATCCCACAGTCTCTGTCACAGGCCGATATTAGCCGATCTCTCCTTTTCTGCCTCCCTCCCTTCTCCCTTTTTCTATCTTTAGCTCTTGGGTTTTCCATTAAGTAAAATCTATTTCCTTCCAGAAGTATCCTCTAGGTATTACAGTGAAAAACCAATGTATCCAATAACTGCATTATCTGAAAGTATCAGCCTTTGACACCTTCCACTTTGATAATTTACACATTGGATGTATAAATTGTGACTCAATCTGAAGTTTGCTGCTGAGGTCTAAGTGCAGCTAGGGTCTGAGAATAGCCTTCCTTCCCAAATACAGTTTTTTAGGGAGTGCAGTTATGTTCTGTTTAGTTGAAGGTAAGGAAAAAGACAAACCAATAATTCAATTCACACTCGAATGAAGGTCATATCCTCTAAATAACCAACAGTATTCTGTGTGTGTGTGTGTGTTGATCTTGTTTCAATACCTGTTGAAAAATTTCTCCAGAAGAGGGCTCCATCCACAGCATCACAAAAATCCAGAATCTGCTCATATTTAAAGAACTTCAGTGCAGCAGCCCCATCAAAACAAAACTATCCTCCGGGTGCCAAATTATTTGCTACAAGCCCCCGAAAATGAGAGGCCCCATTGCCTTTGCACTGTCTGTCTATCTTCTTTGCTGTTGGGGTTGGCTCTGTTCTGGGCTGTGTAGCCTTTCTGAGTTTGAGAGCAGGGAAACTGCAAAGGCCTGGACAATGGGATATGGAATGCAAGGAAGTTCTGAAATTTCCTGGCATTCGGCTTCAGCTAGACCTGCCTGTGTTCTTTCGACAGGAACAGCTCTGCCTGTGAAGAGGGATGATCTGGCCCATTAGGTGACGACCCAGAAGAATGAGTCACGAGGCACTTCCACTCACCCTCCAACACCAGTTGGAAAGGAGAGGGAATAGCTGTGTGTCATCCAATTACAATAATCAGCTGGGAAGAATCAAATCAAGTGACCAGTGTTTCTGGCATTGTTTCGATTCAGCTGTCTGCAAGGTGCTCACCTGTCTGGGCAAATCAGACCCTCCTGAGGGATGCTGCCAATATAATTCCCTGCAGCCTGTCTCCTTCACAGCCACCTGGGACCCTGGGTCTGGCTCCCGCCTGAGCAGTCTACACAGACTGTGAGGGTCCCTGCTCCATCACCAGGTATCTGTTGGCAGCTATAGTCTGGGGTTAGGGTGGAGAGGGATTTCTTTCTCTGTAAGAGATGCAGCCACGGCCCGGCGAGAGAACAGGGCGAGGGACGTTTCAAGCTTGAAATGTCCACCAAGTCAGGGCCCATGCAGGCGAATGAGCCACCCTTTGGCTTAGCAGGTTGGGCCTCCGATCATCCTCTTGCTGGTAATTAAGCCCATGGATCTCGACTACAATTCTGGTTTCCGGGCAGAAGTTGGAAAGTAGTAGCCACAGACTGAATTTTGCCCATGGATATATTTTGTTTGGCCCAAATATTTTGAAAAGTGAGAAAGTGCACATTAAAAAAAAAAAAAAAAAAACAGGTCTTGCATGTCTTAAAAAGTCAGCAGGTCCAGTAAATGTGGACCCTCATTCTCACCTGGAACACTTGGCTGGAGCTGAGTCGTCAGGGCCTCGTTTAGGTAGGGCATGCCTCTGTAGTTTGCCATAATCTCCACCACT